GGCAGCATCTCAGGGATGCGGGAGGTGATGGAGCCGGGATACGGGGGGTGCGGAGCCAAGTGGGGATGGAGCCTCAGGGCTGGGGTTCAGCCCTGCAGCAGGTGAATGGCCAGGGCTGGGCTGGCGTCCTGCCACGAGGGTGGAAACGGGGAGTCATCCTGGATGGGGAGGGGGGAAGCTCTGTTCCCCCCGAGCTTTCTGCAGGTCCGGGAGAGCATTGGGTGCAAATGCCGCTGTGACCTATGCTGGAGGGACATGCTGGACCCGGCTGTCCTGCTCAAAGCCAGAGCGTTGCACCCTGCCCTTTCCCTCACAGCCTTTTCCCCATCCCAGTCCTGCTTTTCTGACAGTGGGGATTCCCTCCCTGCCAGTGAAGCCCCAGGCTCAGAGAGGAGGGCAGCCGAGCATCCCTGCCCAGCAAAGGCAGAGCGCAGCAGGCCCGTGCTGGACTGACATCAGCAGCTTGGCACAAGCAAACTAAGCGCAATTGCTTAATAACCTGCTCACGGCCCTTTGCTGGCCTTGCAGGGTTAATGGGTAAAAAGATGGATTGTTTTCAGCCAAGGCAGAAGCTGGTCTGTCATGCCTGCCCGGGAGCTTGTGCTCTGCATTATAATGCTAGCAGCAGTCATACCGATGGGGCTGGAGGGCTGCCACCAGGCCTGGGCGTCACGCACGCCGCAGAGTCCAGCTGAGACAGCGCTGTTGCCTCTTGGGGCCCAGCTCCAGGAGCTGTGCTTGCTTCAGCTAGGGCCTGGGGCAGGACTCTGACCTGCTGGGGGTTTGCCCTCACAGCCCTTTCACACAAGGGAAAGTGGATGAGAGCTTTAAACATGCTGGGGAATGCAACGTGCGTCGAAATTGAGGTCTGTGAGTATGAGCACCTCACTGCGCTTGAAATTGAACAGCAGTTTTAATAAGATACCCTTGTGTCTCTGAAGGCATTTGCTAGCATTTCCTAGAAGCATGAAGACTCATGGATATACAGGAGCAAGAGGGAAAGGCATTGCTCGTGTTGCTGATACGGTTTGGTCCATGCACAGCTTCACCACGTCGCCAAGCGTCTGGCCAGGCGCTGCAGAGCTGGGTGGGGGGAGCCCAGGCACAGCAGCGATGGGAGAGTATCAGAAATTATCAAAGCACTAGAATTAATGAACTGGTCTTAAATCAGTGGGAGAACCCTGAGAGCACTTGGTGTTTTCCTCTCCCTCTCAAGCACTTGGTGTTTTCTCTGTGTTTCCAGGGAAGACGCAGGATGGGAGCAGGCAGCACGCAGGGATGCAGTGCCGAGGCACCCAGCCCCGCTGCCATCCCACAAAGTCCCCTCTCCGCAGGCAGGTGACCTCGGACCCAGCAGGAAGATGGCAAACTCAATGCAGGGCAATGGGGGCCTCCCCAGCGCGGAGCTCTGGGCCTCCCACAACAGGATGGTAATGGAGCCGCTCGACAGCAATGACCCGGAGGTGAGAGGCCCTTCCCAGCCCCTGCCCAGCAGCCGCTTCATTCATCCCCCAGGCAGCCATGGGGATGCTGACTTCCTTGAGCCAGAGATGTGGCAGGGAGACGATCCAATGCTGAGCTGGTGGGACCCATCCACCCTTTGTGCCCTCTCTGCCTCCAGCAGGAGGTGGAGAAGGAGGGCATCCTCCAACCATGTGCCTGTAACACGGTCATAACTTTGCATCTGTTGCTCATACCCCTCTGCTTGAACCTCTAATGCCCACACCAGAGCAGCTGGCCCACCAGCCCACGTGGCAGTTGCCCTTGACTCTCTAGCCCAAATGACAGCTGAATTATCTGGCAGCTTCCAGATAGGTAGAAACCCAAAACATGGCCTGTGACTGGATATAAGAACTGTTTGGGATCAGTTGTGCTGAGAAGGGATCTCGTCTCCCTTCTCCAGTACCTTTCCAGGCCACTCTCCATGCCCTGTCCCCTCTGAGGGTGCATCCCCTATGGTGGAGCATCCAAGTCTCTGTGCAGAGCTGGCACAGGTTGAAGCTGTTTCTCTCCCCTCCCAAAGGTATACAGCATCATCAAGAAGGAGAAGCAGCGACAGAGGCTGGGGCTGGAGTTAATCGCATCAGAGAACTTTGCGAGCCGAGCAGTCCTGGAGGCCCTGGGATCCTGCATGAACAACAAATACTCCGAGGGCTACCCAGGACAGAGGTACAGGGCTGGCGCAGAGTCCCACCCAACCCAAACCCTCGCAGGGAGGGAGAGGAAGCACCCACGCTGCCAGACCTCACCTCTGGAGAGGGAGCAACGTCCTTGCGTTGGCAGCCAAGCTCCTCCAGGGCAGGATCTGACCCTCTCGGCTTCTGCCCTTGGCCATGCATGAGACAATCTCAGCAGGGTCACGTCAGCTGCAGCTGCTCTCGTGGTGGCTGCCACATCACCCCAGTTCTCCACGGCTTGGTCACAGGATTTGGTTTAACCCCTGCCTCGGCGTTTACTGGCAGGTACTATGGTGGGACGGAGTTTGTAGACGAGCTGGAAAGGCTGTGCCAGAAGCGAGCCCTGCAGGCGTACCGGCTCGACCCCCAGAAGTGGGGTGTCAATGTCCAGCCTTACTCAGGTAACCGGGCACTCAGGAGAGCCAGGCTGGCTGCACCAGCACACCCCGGCACCCATAACCGGCCTGGTGTGCTCTCGCTGCAGGGTCACCCGCAAACTTTGCGGTGTATACGGCCCTGGTGGAGCCCCACGGCAGGATCATGGGGCTGGACCTGCCCGACGGGGGCCACCTCACCCATGGGTTCATGACAGACAAGAAGAAGATCTCTGCCACTTCTGTCTTCTTTGAGTCCATGTCTTACAAGGTACAGAGAGCTGCTCCAGCGGGAGCCAGGATGCGGTCATCAGAAGTGTTGGTGCCTCTTAAAGTTAAAAGTACCGGTGTCAGGCTCCTGGCACCTCCTGCAGGATGGTGCTGTGGCCAATCTTCACCCATACCAAGGTGGCTGAACCCTCCTCTTCCTCTCTCAGGTCAACCCCAAGACTGGCTACATCGACTATGACCGTCTGGAGGAGAACGCCCGTCTCTTCCATCCCAAGCTGATCATAGCAGGTAAGGATCAAACCCTTACCAACCTCCCTGGTGACACACCCTGGCTGGGGGTGGCTCCCCAAAGCCAGTAACACCCTGGCGAGCCCACGGTTCCTGCAGTGCCAGGAGGAGACCTCTAACACATCCATGCTGGCAGGAGCTTGTGTGCTGTCCCCAATGTAGGGCTGGACCTGGGGCTGTCCCAGGGTCCTCGAGCATCTGCTCCTGTCCCCTCCACATCCCATCTTCCTGCAGGTGTCAGCTGCTACTCGCGCAACCTGGACTACGCCCGCATGCGCAAGATCGCCGACGCCAATGGTGCCTATCTCATGGCTGACATGGCCCACATCAGCGGGCTGGTGGCTGCTGGCGTGGTGCCTTCCCCTTTTGACCACTGTGATGTCGTCTCCACCACGACCCACAAGACCTTGAGGGGCTGCAGGGCCGGCATGATCTTCTACCGCAAAGGTGCCTGACCTGGCCAGGGAGCCAGGAAGAAGTGCTCCCCCCAGGCTGGGGAGGCTGCAAGTTAAAGCTCCTTCCTGCTCTGGCTGGGAAGGAGGGAGGGCAGGAAGATCCGGGGCCTCCTGGGAGCATCTGAGGAGCTTCCCAGGGCCAACCATGGCCCAGATTTGAAGAGGAACAACCACAATCCTTGAGTGGCCAGGAGGTGAAAGCAGCTCGTGAGTGACCCTGCCCTCCCCTCCCACAGGCACCCGCAGTGTGGACCCCAAAACAGGCAAAGAAACACTCTACAACCTGGAGAGCCTCATCAACCAAGCGGTCTTCCCCGGGCTGCAGGGAGGCCCACACAACCACGCCATCGCAGGTACGCACCCGTGCCGGGCTGGCTGCCAGCTCTGGGAATTGGAGATGGCAAAGCTGTCCTGGCTGGGCTCTCACCCCCAGCAGCAGTGCGGGCGGCTCCAGCTGCCCCGAGGGGCTCGCAGCCCGGAGAGAAAGCGGCAAGGTGCAGCCAGCTTCATCCATCATTGCCCGAGGAGCAACTGGGCAGCAATCCCGCCTTTTGGCTCGTGGCAATGTCACCAGCCTGGTTAGGGGAAGGGACTGTCCATCAGCTTGCTTAGCTTCCACAATGACTTCTGCTGGCAGTGCCACACGTCCCCACCACTCTCCTGGTGGGAGGCCCCAAGGACTCACCTGGTCTGCCTTCCTCCCCAGGGATCGCCGTCGCGCTGCAGCAGGCCATGACGCCCGAGTTCAAGGCCTACCAGCAGCAGGTGGTTGCGAACTGCAAGGCGCTCTCGGTGGCACTGATGGAGCTGGGCTACGACATCGTCACGGGTGAGGACAGGTCTCAGCATCAGCCCTGGTGCAATCCCAAGCCTTTTTCGCTGCAGTCTCGCGTGGGAGCAGCGTTCACCCCGATCCCACATCCCCCACCAGATCCCTCTCTTTGCAGGGGGCTCTGACAACCACCTGATTCTGCTGGACCTGCGCAGCAGAGGCACAGACGGCGGCCGGGCTGAGAGGGTGCTGGAGATTTGCTCTATTGCCTGCAACAAGAACACGTGCCCTGGTGAGGGATCCTTGCAAGCTCTGCCATGTTGCTGGGGATGTCCCGTGGTCTGTGCAGAGCTTCCTGCAGGGCTCCCAGCTCCCAGTCCACCCCAGTCACCGGGAACCAGACTGAAATCCCGTGCATGGTGATTTCGGTACCGGCTTTGGTCACGCATGACATGTTCTGGTGCAGGTGATGTCAGCGCCCTGCGCCCCAGTGGCCTACGATTCGGGACACCAGCTCTCACCTCCCGTGGCTTCCGGCAGGATGACTTCCGAATGGTGGCTAAGTACATCCACAGAGGTGAGGCCAGGCCCAGGCTCATGGGTGGGGACACATGGGGCCGAGTCTCATCTCCAGCAGCTCCTGCAGATGAGGAGGCACTGAGTGAGCCAAGCTGGGTGGCTTCCCCACCAACTGGCAAGAGAGCACACACACAAGTGAGGAGTAACTGTCCCCCCTGCACATCTGGATGTGGGAGAAGACAGCTGGCCACAGCTGGGACCACCCAAGCCCTCCCCACTGCATAGGCAATGGGCTGAAAGCCTGCGCCTTTCGCAGTGTTGTTCCAGCGGCCCTTGGGGGTCCCATGCTGGTTTCCCAGGGCAGCAAGTCCCTTGCAGCCCTGTTCCTATTCTCCCACCTCTCTCGGGGAGCAGCCCCAGCCCAGCTGCAGGGTCTGCAGGGCTGAGCCCGCAGCCCAGCCTCGCGAGCTCTCTGCAGCAGGGCTGGGAGAGCCGCGGGATGCAGGAGCCGGCCACTGAGTGCAGGCAGGGGTTGCGTCTGGGAGGGCTGACGGACACATCTCCCATCCCGGCAGGGATCGAGCTGACGCTGCGTGTGCAGAAGGACCTGAGCCCCAAGGCCACGTTGAAGGAATTCAAGGAGAAACTGGAGGAGGAGAAATACCAAGGGGAGCTGAAGGCACTGAAGGAAGAGGTGGAAGCCTTCGCAGCGACCTTCCCGCTCCCAGGGCTGCCTGTCCTGTAAGGGGAGGCACACGCGCCCATTCCTGGAGCCACGGAACTACCCGGGATGGCGGCACACTCGCACCCCCAGCCTGAGACCAACACCCCAGTGCCTTCTCCCAGCACCTCCTTGCTGGCAGGGGCTGTGCTGCAGCAGCGGCTCCTTGTTTGGCTCTTCACCTCTCCCCTCCCATCTGGGGCACAGGACCCCCCTGAGCACAGCCCCCCCGCAAAGAAACCAGCCCTTTCACCTCTCTGGGTTGCACCAGGTAACCATCAGTCTCACAGCCAAGCTCAGTCCAGTGCTTGCTGGCTGTGGGAGCAGCAGACGAGGTTTAGGCAGGCCTGCCCACGTCCACCCAGACACCCCTGCCCACAGCAGCCAGGAGGGACGGGGGGTCCACCTCTGCAGGAGCCCCACGCCCGCAGCCAGGCGCGCTGCGCTCAGCTGCGCGAGGGACTTCACCGCTGTAAAAGCCTCCCTGGTTTCAGTCTTCACCTTGTGTGCCTTCCAGCCTTCGCAGGCCTTGGCAAGGCCAAGCCTTGTCCCAAACCCACCAGAACAACCCTCCCGGGATCGCTATCCCATCCCAGCCCGCATCTCCGGTATCTTCTCAGACCTCAGAACACAAAGCTTAGGTAGAACCATTTTTTAATAAGCACGGTAAAATTAAGAATTTAACCACAATGTATGACAAAAATTATACGCTTTAAAAAATACAACCAATTTTTTTTTGTATTTCAAAAATATCTGAACCCAAATAAATAATTTTTGTTTTTTTAAAAGTACATTTCTCGGACTAGTCATTTGGTGTTAACATCTGTTAAACTCTTGTGCAGTAACACAGCACGACACTAAGACATGCTTCTTGGATTTCTCCCGGTCACACTCGCTCTAACTACTGACGCAAGCATTCGGCACGCACAGGCACACACACGTAACTCAACATGCAGTAAAAGGATACAGTGCTTTAAAATAAGATGAGAATTCATCACAGCCTCCTCGCAGCCCTAGAGGCAGCTCTCAGCCCAGCCCCATCCCCATGCCGGCAGAGAGGCGACCAGCGGGACCAGGTACCCTGTGTTTCTGTTTTCCAGTTAAAACGCGTCTCGGGGGCCAGCGTGTGGTGGGTTTGTGGTTCCTCAACACCGGGCTACAGTCTGTTGCTCTGACACTGTGCTGCTGGGGCACTGCGTGGAGCAGGCACTCTCCTTCAGCCCGAGCAAGCTCACCACATTTCCCATTGCACCTTTTCACAGGAGCCTTTCCAAAGCGGTGCCCCAAGCCCTGGGTCCTGCACAGCTCTCCGCGACGCTGAGTCCGCAGCGCGGGCAGTCACCCACCACCAGACTGGGCGGGCTCAGGGCCCCCCACGCTCGATAAAAACCAAAGAACTGGCCTAGGGGCAAGGAGCCATCAGCTCTCACCCCTCAAGCGCCTCTCCCACCCCTTACAAAATGGCAAATATTGCTAGAGTATAGGCAGTATATATCCCTTGTCAAGGCAAGGCAGCTTTGGAGCTGCTTAGAAGTGATTGCTACTGGATGAAAGTAAATCCGAGCACTATTCTCTGAGAAATGAAACCTGTGTAGGGTTAGTATCGCCTACTACTATGGCTGAGCCTCCTCAGGGTGGGATCTGAAAGCTGCGGGCTAGTGTAGAGTAGAGCCGGGGCTGGCAGTCGGAGTCTCCCAACACAGGAAAGCAGAGGAATAAGAAAGGGAAGCCCTGCCCTCCCGGCCAGGCAGCAGGCAGCCAGGGGAGACTTTTGCTCTGATGAATTCTTGCTCAGGCTTAAAGCCTCCTCTCCCCGACAGCCAGCAGAGAGAGGAGGGAGCCGGAGCCGGCTGTGCGGGAGGCAGGGGCATGCTGGCAGCACTCACGGAAGCAGGTGACGGCCATGCACGGCACCACTGGCTCTGGCAGCTGGAGGGTTGGTGCAGGAGGGCTGGTGAGTATTGCACTGTGGCTGCGAGGAACCGGCCCTGCTCGTGGTGGAAGGATGGCTGGACGGCAGCGGGTGGCACAAGCCGACAAACACACATGCCAAGATTCATCGTGGGAGCTGTTAACCTGTTACAAGCCTGCTAATATCAGAAACTAGTGAGGTAACAAAGTGAAGATGAGGAAAAAGTCTTAAAGTGCCGATATAGGGATCTTTACTGTACAAGAGCAGAAGGTCAGACAGAGAAATTACTGAGCAAAGAGGAATTCAGCTCCCGACCCACCAGCTGCACTCGGGCTCTGCCCGATTTCTGCCGCTGCTATGGGCACCACAAGCCGCGAGGGCAGGCTGGGCTCCGGCTGTGTCGAGCTGCCACAGCCCGATGTAACTCCCCCTCTCCCTGGGTCCGAGCTCAGAGGTTACCCTGCCGTGAGCCAGCTTTAGGAGGACAAGGGCTCCAAGGCCTGTTTCCCCACAGCTCCTGCTTAATAGCAGAGCTGCAGATAGCACAGAGCTCCCCTGGAAAGGCAAAGCCCCCGGGGCATCCTCCTAAAGCAGAGCTGCTTTGTGGCAGAGACACGAAGCAGGTCAGGCAGGTGGTAGTGCAAGTATTGCTCAACACGGCCTTGAGTACCAGATACTACAGGTTGGATAGAGGGACGACAGTGGTGAGTTATTTATCCATTTACGAGCGCAGCTGAGCACCACAGGTAGAGACCACTGTGACTGAGATCAGCCAACACTAATCGTTGATCCCGCTCTGCGCTGTCGGCCTGGAGGAAGACATAAGTGAGTCAGCAGGA